TTGTATTTACAGATGTTTCAACACACAAAATTATATCTATCCTTTTCAAAATCTCAGCCTCGGCTTTATTCTTAAAATATTCTTAAAATTTCGCAAATTTCAGCCTCGATATTCTTATAAAATATATTCTTATAAAAAAAAAAGAGTGTATTGATTTTCTCTGGTCGACATGATTTGCCCTCTGATGCAAGAGCATTTTCTTTTTAGGCCCCTTTAGAAAAGTAAAACTCTTCATTGCGGCTTAAGGGTTTTAGGTTGCTTTATTTCTTTAAAGTGCCCCCTGGATTTGAATAATTTTCGGCGATTTTCTTTGTGTCCGTGAATGTGACTTTTTCCTGCAATGTTTTGTCACGCTGGGCCCAGCTCGTTAGCGTTTTTTAGCAGGATTTTAAATTCTCACAGATAGTGATTTACAGAGCTAAATCACCAAGACGTGGATTGGAATGAGAGGATTTACTCATTCTTTTCAATCGCAATAATTGATCATTGTCAGTTGGCGTGTTCAGTTCTTCTCTAATTTGCGAAAGCATCGCCGTGCAGTTTTTCGGGGCAGTTTCTAACCTTTGTTCCGCACGGAGAGCAAACTCTTGTGGAGAAAGATTCTCCTTCCTCGAGGCCAACGAAAAGTTCGTTTTTCAGTCGGTCGGCCCACTGTGGTAACGTTTCCCCTTTTCTGGTAGGCGCAACAAACACATTTTCCGAGCTTATCCATCCACTTGTACAATTGCCGAACTGTGTTTTGAAACAACAGCCGCACATTCTACAATTTATCCGAAGCGCTCGGCTCTTTCGGCTTTCTCCCTCTTCGAGGAGCAGTTACAGGCTTTGTTGTCGTACTACCACTTCCACTCATTTTTGATCCTCCACTATATATACTACATTTCACTATACACTACATTTCACAGAGAACCAACGCTGAAAACTGCTTTAGAATTACTGGATTACAGCGTTAAGAGCGGAGTTGCGAACAGATTTTTGACAGCTCGACGACATTTTTGAACCCTCTGGTCGGAACGAACTCATTGTATGGAAAACGGACAGTCGGTTTTCTTTCTCTCGCCTCACACGCCCTACAGGCGTGTGAGGCTCCCGCGCTTCGCGTGCGTAAGACTCTTACGCCACGCTTTACCGATTTCTTTACTGATTTTGAGAAAAAAACCGACTGTTTTGCAGTGTAATGGCACCTATAAGCTTCCGTAGCTTTCTCATTTCATCAAGACAGAAAAAAATTAAAAATTTGTTCAGAATTTCTGAACAAAGTTAAAAGCAATACTTTGATCTTTGCAAACTAAGAAGTTGTTCTGAAACAGTCTAGCCTATCTCCCACCTATGCAAAGTAAGTAGCCTTTGTTTTCTAAGGAAATCCCGAAGACAATGCGGAAGTTTACCCCCTTCTAAGAATTGTGTGGTCGTTCAGTGGATTAAGTTTGAGAGTGGAAATATCACAAGTCTTCAGTGACTAAAACACTGCCAGTCTGCGGTTAATTATAGGACTATCTTGTGAATAATTGTTAAGAGACAAAACTGGTACATTTAACTTGAGTTTTTTTTTTAATGAATGTCGCTTGGTTTAGCTTGATGTGGAGAGCGCATTTGTCGACAAAAACGAAAGGCGCTGAAGATTGCAAAGAGTTTTTATTGACAAAGCCAACAAAACGTAACGATCTTAAGCATGTTACTGCAGCGTTTACTTTTACTTCTTCTTGTACTCGTCTCACATCAATCCAACCTAATGCTCATAAGAAAATAACTTTTGACAGAGCAACCGTCTGAAACCGTGCTTATCACACATAAATCTGATGGTCCCAAGTGTTTCGATTTAGACCTGTTTCTGAAAATTAGTGGTTGTTCAAATGCCTAAGGAGTGAGCTTTAAAAAACATTCGGACCTGTGTCTGATAAATAGTGGTGTCGACTGTACATGTTGACTTAGGACAGAACCTTGCAGGAAATTGGTAACGATGAAAACCTCGCTATTCCTTATTGGGAAAGTAAAACACAATGTTAGCCAGTTATTTGTTCTGAAGAGCTTCTTAGTGTAACAAACCAAGCTGATGGAACTAGAAGGGCAAATACTTTGACAACTGGTACGTCATTGCAGTAGTGAAGAAACCAATTCCCGGACAAAGATGTATCACCAAACCAACAGGAAATCTGGTTTGGAACTGATCACTGAGAAGGAAATAATGGAAGAAAAAGTGAGAAAACGGGGATATACAATGACATTTCCAACCAAAGAAGAAGTCAACTTTGCACTCCGGCTTGAAAACTTTGACCTGCCAAACAATGGCAAAGAGTCACGCTACGCCAGTACAAAGACCGGTTGTCGTTTGCCAGATGTCCAGACCTTACATAACCAGAATCACTTAGTCTTGAGTGGAGCCATGAGGAATGAACCTTCAGCGTCAAACGACCTCATCTTTCCTCTTCATCATTTCTTTGTAGATCGTATTTATGAGAAATGGCTTCGCAAGTTCAAGAAGAACGCTTCGGTTCTTTCAAGTTACGATGCACCAATCGGACACAACAAAGATGACGTCATTGTACCAATTTGTCCTGTGTATACTCATCAACAGATGGTTAAGAAGTCTTTCGAGTTCGGTTATGACAACGACGATGTTGACGAGAATGGAAAGTATACATTAAGTTTCTACCTTCCTTTACTTTTTCCTTTAACTTGAGTGCGATTACAGTCAAACCAGGTCAAGCGTTCCCGTCCCTAATGAACTAATGAATTCATTCACGGAAAAATGATTTCGTTTGTTGATTCAATAATCCATTCATAAAATGAACAATCCAATAGTCATATTTAGCCTCGATTCCATAATCGAATGTTGATTCGATTACTGTTTTTTGAAAAATTACACTTTCCACAAGTTGACCTCAGAATTTTGTTTTTTCCTTTTTTTTTTCTGAGAGTCGAGTGCTGGCGAGTTCTGAAGTTCAAACCCAAACAAACTGTTACATGTACGCCAGTTTGCTGCCAATAATCAGTGCAACAGACCTAGGCCTGACCTCTTAGAAAACACGACGGTCAAACTGAGGTCAGTGTATGTGCGGTGATTGGTGGATTTCGATCCTCGGCCTTTGTCAGTTTCTTTGCGTTTGCGGTCTGTCTATTCTAGCTGTTATTTTGATTAAAGGCAATGAAAAACGCAATCGTAAACGGCTGGAAAAGGGAAGCAAATACGATTGAACACAACAGACAAGAATAAAGAACAGGTAGATTTTGTTCATAAACCAAACCAACATTTGATTATTGAATCGAGGTACAATTTGACCGTTGGATTATTCATTTTATGAATGGATTATTGAATCAACAAACGAAATCATTTTTCCATTAATGAATTCATTAGTTTGTTAGCGACGGGAACGCTTGACCTGGTTTGACTGTAAGTGTAATTGTAGTGAATCCCTTTGAGAGAAAATAAATTTTATGACACTCGAACCCCGCTGTACGGACACCCACCTTTAATTGCGAACAGTTTTCTTTGCTCCCGGGGAAAGCCATTTCCTCTCTTAGATTCAATCCCTTGGGAGATCAGATAGCCCTAAAAGAAACTGAAAACAATACTTCTGCAAAACTTTGGGGTGACAAACAAAGAGACATTATGGGTGTGTTAGGGCATTTTCTGTGGTGGTCAATAGTCGTTATTGTGAAAAACCGACACGTTCGTCTTTTCAGTCAAAAAATATAAATTTCTCATAATTATATTAGGAGGGAGAAACCAACATTGAACATGCAGCTTAATCATCTGAGCTTAATCTTCTGTTTTAACTGGATTTTACTTTTACTATCGTCATCATCATCAATATCGTGATCGTTATCATTGCTTATTTTCTTTATTTTTGCTACATATTATTATACCTTTGAAGAGATTGAAAACGTTACGTTTTTCGCTAATGTGGTATATTTGTTACCTTACGCTTATTCAGGATAAAGTTACGTAGATTCAAACAGACCTTTCCAGCTTAGGTTGCGTAGCAGGCGCCCATTGCCTCCAAGCGCCTTCTGTACAGGCTATATTTAGCTTGCATTTGTATGGTTTGTTCTATTAATTCAGACCACGAGATGTTCTCCGGGGAATTTCCCTTTTGTCCTTTCATAAATTATGCATAATTATGCACGTGGATGCGTAGAAAAATCTCTCGGAACAAAGGAGAGAACCAACAACAAACTTAACTCACATATGGCGTCGACACCGGGATTTGGACCCGGGTCACATTGGTGGGAGAGGAGTGATCTCACCACTACGCGGGAAGAGAAAATTACATAAGAGTAGGGCTGAGAATATTCAAAACAGACAGCTAAGCTAAGCAGAGTAGAGTAGAGTGGAGTAGAACACAAAAGAAGTGTAGTTAGCCTTCAGTTAATCAAAAATACACTGTATAGGGTTCTGTTAGCTCAGCCCTGGATATATTGCGTCACTGTGGACTCCTCAAGAGTATCGCTGCGATTTTGCTTTGGATATTTTGATCATCCTAAAATGCCGAACAAACTGTGTGTCCCTTTGAATAATTTAAGGCAGCATGGTTCTATCAATATAACCTCCCGCCCTTCGATACCCGTAAAGGTCAATATGTGTATCATATTACCCTTTCTGTGTTGTCCAGTACAGCATTTCATCCAATATGAGAAAGAGAATGCGACTTGAAATCAGATTTGCGCTTCTCCTTCGGAGAGTCGAGATTTTAATACGAGACTTCATCACAGTCCCAAATAAAGTAGGTCATTTAGACAAGACAGGATTACCTTAAGGATAGCACAGTTTATAAACTAAGAATTGAATTTTAGACGGAATCCACCAGGAAACTGAGTAATTTTAATTTTCATTAGAGCAACACAAATCGCCTGAACTGTAAGTATCCTGGAGAGTCCCATACAATTTACTGTAACGTTGTTACAGTAATGTATGGGACTTTTGGAGCACCTCAGGCCGTATGCGAGCGAGGCGTTATAATCCTTTTCTTATGAAACAGATTTGCAATACAAATGCGTTTACCGGTCTATACTTATGATCAAGTAGTAATAAACGCGTCTCAATTTACTTTTCGCGAGAACAATGAGGCTTGTGTTTATTTACTGCTGCCGACTGGTTCGCAGCAGCACGCACTTTGGGAAACGAGATTGACTCGATAATGATGGTGAAGACTCTAGTTTGAAGAAAAGTCTTAGTTTATTGTTCTACAGTCAATCCAAATCTTTTGTTCAGGCCTTAGAAACAAAAACGAAATTTATGAAATTTACAATTGTTTTATGATGATATTGAAAAAGAAGAGAATTTTTTAGATACAAGAGACAAATCTTACAAGTTTCGATATTTTCTTCTCCTGGCTTTGCAAAATTTACAATTAAAACAACCACTGAATTGGTTAAATTCTACTCTTTAAATACTGAGAGTAAAGAACACCATATCTTAAGAGTAAAGATGTTAACCAAAATAATTATGGCAATCTTTTATTCAGTTTATTCAGTTGGCGGAAAATCAACATATTCTGAATTAATTCCTATTTGTCTTTTTTGGGGATTCTCTGGACATGCTCCTGCGTGCGTAGAAAGAATTAATGTGGAAAACTTAATTCTCAGAATCGCCATTTCCGGCTTTCTGAGAATTAAATAAATTGATGTTAGGGTCAATTTTCATTAATATTTTTTCCGTGGGTAAATTCTCGCTTTCGTTGTTTCAATGAAGTTGTTTTTTTCTATTATAACTGTCAAGAGTCTTTTTAAGTGGATCGGCAGATCGACTGGCCTTATAAGTGGTGGGAAAACGCTGGTAAGTGAAATTGACTTTTTATATGTCATGTACGGTATTCTGCGTAATTCTACTTTGAGGGAAACTAACAAATATATATTCGAATTGTTTAAAAAAAATTCAATACCGGGCGTGAAACACACAAGTTTCTTATCATTGTAGACAACACAAGCAAGGAAAAAGCACGTTTTAAAAGACAAAGGGGAAAAAAAACTTGAAATAACTAGGGGGAAGGGGATGTATGGTTATCGGCTCGTAGCGGAGCAAACTTGTAGTCTGTGGCATCACTCAAGGTGTTCAGGACTGAAGGCCAATATTTTCTGCTTCGATGCTAAAGATAAAAAGAATGTTTGAAAATCGTAAGGGGTCAAATAAAATCAAACCGTGACTGGTCTCCTTTAGATGGGTGAGTTGGACACGTGGCTTTCTCAGATTGATCAGTTTGGCTTGCTAAGGGATGTATTTTACTTTTAATGGTCAACTAAAAAGAGAAAAGGTTTTCTTCTTCTATTTCTTCTTTTTTTGCTTGGTTTTTTCAGGCAATTCAGCCTGTATAAAATGTTTTTGTTTTTTCTCTAATCCCTCTCCATCCTTCCCTGACACGGTGTAAGCTTCACACGAGGATATTTAGCCGGTATTTTTTCTTTCGCTTGCACCGTAGACCATTTTCACCGTGACTTAAGCGAAACGAGCAAACTACAAAAGAGAATACCTGCAAAAAGTAAACCTGGTCTGACAGGCTTAAGAGGATCACTGACCCCAGACGTGACATCACGCGGTTTAAAAATGAAAAGAGAAACTGTGGTTGGTAGGTAAATTCCCCGTCCTAGATTATTCTTCAAACCTGTGGGCTGCAACACCGTTTTGGTATTTGATCGGTTTTCAGTCACAGAATTTCTCTGGAGTATGATTTCTATGAACCCATTTCTCGTTTCTTGGACCATTGTTTTTTGAAACTTTACTTTAAAAAGTTCTCAATGTCAATGTTTGAAGTATGCAGAGTAGGCGGTGCTATGTCAACTAACATGTAAACTTTGCTCGAGCGCGAAGCATTTAAACACATGCAAGATAAAAAGTCACTTTGAATGTGCATTTTGTTGATCTAGTCTGAGTTTTCACAAAATGGTAAATAAAAACAAACGAAATAAAATGAAAAACGCCTCAGCGCACAAATCCAGTCCGTCCTTGAGGCAGCTGCGATTTTCAGTAAGATGAGAGCCTGGGGACGAGGAGCACTTCCAATAAACAAAATGGATTGGCTCAGTTGGGTCAGTCAGTTGGGCTATACACAGCTTTGTGTTGTAAATGGAACCGTCTCTTTGCGCGGTAAGAAGGATGGAGAAGGAGAGCTACAACTTTGGTATCGTGCGATGTTCAACGATTGCCGCATTTTATATGCCAGTAGGATAGCGGGGCATGACGAAACAAATAGGACCATGTGAGAGTACTGATAAAGGGGTTTCGTCCAGGGGCTCAAGAGTTAGAACTAAATTTTATAGATCCATGACTCTAGGAGTGAAAGGGTTTTAAATATATAATTTAACAATACAATTATAATAAACTGGTTCAAGACTTCAGAGATAGTGCATCGTTTTATTACTACAGCTCTGTTTCGTGTGGCCAAAAGATGACCACACTCATTGGGTAATATCAACGATTGACCGTTAGATTACAACTGGCGAGAGAGCGGAAATAAGGTTGCTATGAAATATAAAAACAGCGTTATGTTATCGTATAAATCATGT